CTTTTATCAACCTTTATCAACCTTTTATCTGCCTTTTATCAACCTTTAGCAGCCTTTTATCAACCTTTTATAAACCTTTTATCAACCTTTTATCTTTCTCTTTATCACCCATTTTTCAGCGCCCTCAGGTCGAGAAAGGGGGATTCAAACCACATTTTAAGGTTACTGGAATATAATCTCTAAGCTGTTCAGGCAGTTTCCATCTTTCAAGTTTACTTCCTTTCTTCCATCTGTCATCTGCTTCTTCCTTTTTGGGTCACGGAGGTCACTGGTGCTCATGTCCATCAGTCACTGTGTGAGAGGCGAGGGACACCCTGGACAGGTCTCCAGTCCATCACATGGACACATAGAGACAAACAAGACAAACAACCATTCACTCTCTCACTCTCACCTAGGGACAATTTAGAGTTACCAGTCAGTCTAACATGCATGTTTTTGGTCTGTGGGAGGAAACCAGAGTACCCGGAGAAAACCCTTACACCACGGAGAGAACATGCAAGCTCCACCCAGAAAGGTCCATGACCAAGATTTGAACTGGCGACCTTGCTGAGAGGCAACAGCTCTGCCAAGTTTGGATTCCATGCATTTATTTTTTCAGATGTAGTATTTGGATCTTTTATATTTACTCCCAAACTCTGGAGTACGTAACATTTCAGTGGTGTTTGTGATGCTTCTACAATGTGACCAGAGTCCATGTGTACTTATCATACTCACCGACCCCACATCGTTAATCTTTAAATCCTCAGTTATAGAAACCAAGCACAAAGCGAAGCACTTGGAGTTTAGAACTACAGACAGATCACCCATTCACACTCCCTTTTTCTTCCTCTTCCATCCACCTCAACGTGCCTCTCGTCCTCCTCAGCATCATGGGACACAGATCCTTCTCTCACTCTGCTCCCCAACTCTGTCTCTCACTCTGCTCCCCAACTCTGGAACGCTCTTCCCCCGGACATCTGTAATACTGACTCCCTTCAGACCTTCAGATCACAACTCAAACTCATCTGTTCAAGTCAGCCTTCTCACTTTCATTTTTTGTTACTTTCTTCTTGGTTTAGTGTTTTTAAAACCATTTTGTATTGTTTTATTTTGTGTTTTTAATGTTGTGAAGTGTCCTTGGGTGTCTTGAAAGGCGCTAACAAATAAAATGCATTATTATTATTATTATTATTATTATTATTATTGTTTGTGTTCACTGAAAAATAAACGAGAAGACATTGAAAAATAATTGTATATAAAATTGTAATTGTAATATTGATGTAAAAAATTGCCATTAGAATATTTTCCAAAATCGTTCAGCCCTATTGTGAATCACATTCATCTTTTTATAGAAGGAGTTCTGAGTCTTTAAATTGAAAGGTCCAAATCTGATTTCTACATAAGATCTGTAACAACTTGGAACAAGCAAATCCCTTTTCATTAAATCTGCAACCAAAGTATGTTGTTGGCCTGCAGCTGGTTACTTGTAAAGCTGCTTGAACTTCTGACAGTAAATGTTAAGGTGCTCTGTCATTTTATATAAAGTTTTAACTTGATCTTTATTAGTTTTCCTGCCTCAGCAAAACAAAATGCCTGTTTTTATAAATGCATAAATCAATTAAATAAACAGAACTTTTCTAGGCAACAAGACTCTTAACATCAAAATAATGGAGTAAACGTTAAAGATGCTCTGAGTTAAAAAAAACAAAGTAATCGAGTGTGAAGTCTACTTTGACTGAACTGAATGACCTAAATGTTTTTTTTTGTCAGATGTTGTGATATGAACTAGTTGCTATATTTACTGCTGAGAATGAAAAACTAATATACATACAGAGTTTCTTTATCCTCTCGTCTTTGACAATTCATTTTCCAAGTCTACCTTTTTTATTGCCCACTTAGATAAGTCCATGCGGCTTCATATTTCTGCTCTGCTTCTTAGTTTATAAGAATAAATGTAACAGAGCTGGAGCTGCTGCAGGACCGACCCACTTCTCTTTACACGCTCTGCTTCATGTTTGTTGCTGTGCTTGCAGCCTACACTACAAAAACTGATGGAATCCAACCAGCTGAATTCCATACGTCTCAGTCCCAGTTCTTGCAGAACATGAAGAAAGGTTCTCTCTGTCTGTGCACTCCTGAAGGAGCCACACCATCATGCATCATACAAACGCATTCACAAGAAGTGGGACGTGTCCATTTCCCAGCTGACCATCCTATCCAAGTCCATGTCCATCCTGAAGTTTCCATCACAAAACCCTTTCTCCTCTGGCTCTTGCTCAACAAAGACACTTCTCCTCTCCCTCCCCCCGTTCTCCCTTTCCCCCTGCTTCTGCTCTCTGTGTGTCTCGGAGCTCCTGGTACACATCTCCCAAACGAAAAATACTATTATGGATCTGACGAGCTGAACTTTCAACGAAATCGACAAAATCTTTTCAACAAAACGACAGGGTCCTGGAGAACCCTCTTGCCCGGCTGAGACTAATGCTGCGGGGTACATCAGCTGATGTGCTTCTCAGTTCTGTCTCAGGAGGACACTGAAGATGTTTATATATTTGGATTTATGATCGCAGGAGTTCTGCTCTTTGGCATCAGCGGGGCTCTGTTTTATCACCTTGAAGAAGACATGGGCAGCAGTTTCAGTCATGGCAAAGCTTCCAAGTCTGTGTTTGGTTTGTGCTATGAGGACTCAAAATCAGCTGATTAACAAGCTAAACCGTAAGATGGAGACGATTTCTGAGAATCACAGGCCACCTGTGGCTTTAGGACTAAACAGCATGTGGGATCGACCTTGGGGAGGCTCATAGCATGGATCAGTGGAGATACCCATACATCTGGCCATTTTGGACCAAGAAAGTTCCAACAGAACTCAAGGCTGACAAGAAAAACAGTCTGCCTGAAGAAAATCAACAATTATGGCTTATCTGAATCTGACTCCCCCATTTGTCCTCGGTTACGAGTCGGCTATCAAATTTCTCCTGGGACATGGGTAAATAGGGACAAAGCTTTGTCTATCTTATCAGAACTGTGCCGGCTGACCAGCATCTTATCAGGACTGTGGCCTATCTGAAAGTGCTCACGGACAAATCTCAATGTCTTGACGTCAAATGCATATGTAATGTGTTTATAAATGTGCTGCTGGTAGAGATTTTTGATGTCGCAAATTGTGTCCTGATAGGACAATATATGAAGAGATCTTTTTTTGTCATATCACTATCCATCCTCATGGCCTTTTCCCCTTTTCTATCTAAAAGTATTCTGATAAAGAATAAGGGTCTGTGCTATTATAGCAGCAGCAACGTGCACTCCGCCCATCTTTCAGACGACTGTACGAACATAATCTCACTGTATCCCGGTACAATGATAATTAAGCTTATTCTGATTCTGAAGATGGCACAAAATAAACCTAAATGATTATAAGAGCATTAGGAGCAAAATTATCTGATCTGATTTTAATCATTTGTACTTTACTGGGATCATTTTTCAACAGTGGCCTGCCGCCTCTCAGCAAGAAAGTCGCCCCGGTTCAAATACTGGCCCGGGACCTTTCTGGGTGGAGTTTGCATGTTCTCTCCGTGGGTTTTCTCCAGATACTCCGGAGAAAAACATGTATGTTAGGCTGATTGGTAACTTTGAATTGTTAAACTGGAGACCTGCCCAGGGTGTCCCCCGCCTCTTGCACAGTGACTCCTGGACTTGAACACCATTGAGTGAGCCGAAAAGGAAGAAGCGGGCAAAAGTAAATGGACTGTACTTATAAATCACCTTTCTATCTGATGAAGACACTCAAAGCTCTTTACAACAATCTGTGCCTCACTTACCCGTTCATACAGCTCTATACTAGATCTCTACAAAGAATAATCAGAGCTTGATCACATTCAGACACTGATGGACACACATCGGAGGCAATGAGGGGTTCAGCTTCTTGCCTAGAGACAATTGGGCATGTGACTGCTGGTGGAATTGAACCCCCAACTCTTGCATTTGAGGACAACTGCTCTAACCACTCAGACACAGTCGCCCCAAACCCATCCATAATCTTAAGATTATGGATATAATCCATAATCTTAAGATTATGGATATAATCCATACTCGTGGATAATCCATGAAAGAATCCATCCATCCTTTCATCCATCCATTGATGGATGAAAGGATGGATGGATTTTCAAGTCTGTGTGGAGAAAAATTAGACATTATATCACTAACACACTCCTATAGTCAAACACGGGCATGGCAGTGTCATGCTGTGGGGATGAAACATGTAGAGTGACAGAATCCAGAGATGAATAGCTAGAACTCGGGTCTGAGCCGCTCACAGACTGGATGTGAACAGGGCTGTGCACGGACACTTCCTGTCTTACTGGACTGAGCTTGTGAACCATCTGTGCAGCTGAAATGAGTCTGAGCTGCACATTTGTTCTGGTGTGAAGTTGTGCAATACAGGAAGCTGTGAAACTGACGAGCCTAACAAAATAAAATGCTGTGTCTGCACTTCATCAGGCACAGTGGATGTTTTAGTAAACCACTGATTTACGCTTTGAGTTTGATGTTTTATACTGCTGATTTCTTACATTATTAAATGTTTGACAAGTTTTATTGGTGTTAATTCAGAGCGTTTAAATCCTGAGACCATTCACGTCACACACAGGAAGCTGTTGCAGAATTTAAAGAGCATTCGTCTGTATGAAGCTCTAACTTGAAGCCAGTAATTCAACAGCTGTGTGCTGAGTTACATCTTTTGTTTTTTGATTATGTGAAAAAGTTTTCTTGCATAATTACCTGTTCAAAGCGCCCTCTTTAGGTCAACGTGTGTAACTGCAACAGACTAACTTATTGATCTCGTTTTTTTTTATTTACGTCAAACTTAAAAATCCGTTTCAAGAAGACAATTTGCGGGAGTTGTCTTATTTTTCATAATGGTCAACAAATGGTAATTCTGTGACGTGTTTACGGAGTTGGATTCTGTTGACATCGTTGGTTTTCAGGAGACCAGAGAGCAGAGAATCACCCAGTACCACGAAGAACCCGACACTCCCAACGTTTTGGTGAGTGAGAGCAAAGTGGATCCCGAGAAACTGCAGCTTTGACCAAATGATCACTTCTGGTTTTGTTTGTAGGGTCTGAGGGAGGGCTCCATGCTGCTGGTGGAGGGGAACAACGCCACGCTCCTGGGAACCACCAGGGCCCGGCTGTTCTTCAGGTAACACACAAACTGCAGCTTCCTTCACTTCTCCACTGAGCCACAGCTGAGCTCGAGATAATGTTGGTTCAAAAAGAGCTCCACAACTTTTCTGAAAATGTGTTCATTTTACAAAAACCCTGTCGTGGTGAAGCCACGTCCCTCCACTTCCTGCTGGGTTTACTGCTTCGCTCGTTTCAGGGGGAAGTCCTGCGTGGAGTACGATCCAGGAAGTGACCTCAGCTTCCTGCTGACGGACGCACACTGAGCCACCGAGCAGGGAGCGACGTCACCATGGAGACCACACGCTTCATGACGCTGCCTCCAAACTGAATAAAAGTTTTGAACATCAAGTGTTTTGGTTGATCATTCTTTTAAAATTGATTCCCTCGATACACACGTCTAATAACGTTAAAGATAAAATTATCTTATCAAGTTAAATAACACCAAGACAAAGCGAAGAACAAACTGTGAACAAATCAGTTTATTTCAGTTCAAACGTGAAATCATCTCTTTATGAAAATGTTAATATTTACTCCCCAGGTGAAGTAATACATCAAAAATAGTCCACATTTACCCAGAACTGGAGGAAAAGTACAGAGGTATTACATTTAAAAAACAAACAGGAGAAACAATTATTTGACCACTTATTTAAGTTTGTTCAAAAGAAAAGAACAATCTGTAGTTTTTATAGTTTTTTATAAAAACCTGGTATTAATGAAAAGTCCAGGAAAAAAATACAGTTAAAATGTATTTGACTGACATTGAGTGAAATACGCATTTCATTCCTTATAGCTACCAAATCCTGGCTCCAAGAGACTGCTGCAGTGCCCATGGGCCACACAGACGACCGTCTTTAATCCAGTTCAGGTCGTCCTGATCTCAACTCTACAAAGCTCAGAATCAGGATCTGCTCAGAACGAGCTGTCGGAGGACGTGACACAAGAAAATAGATCTGGGATGAGCTACAAGACCACCAGCCACCCTCGGGAGCTCCATGCAAGATCTGAGGAAGAGTGAGGGCTGAGGAGAGCGTTAATCTGAAACTAGCTGGGATTACATTCACTGAGAACACCAGTGCAAACACAGTCTGCTGTCCTGGACTCAAAGTCCCCCCACGTGCTCTCACACAGGATCATCTAAAGTTTACCAGCTGAATGGAGGAAGAACTGAGGTCCAACGAGACCAAAGATTAAGCTGTTGGACATCAGATCAGTCGGTTCGAAGAGGAGAGAGATGCTGAGTGTGACCCAAGGAACACGTCCCCTCACTGAATTCTCTGCTAAGGGACATGGACGGTGTCCTCCATCAGCCAGATCAATGAAGACGGCTTCACAATGAGCCAAAACAAACGAGCAGCTGAAGATAAAACCCATTAGGGTCATGGAGGGCCTCACTATTCTGCAGATGGAGCTGGAGCTTCAATCGCCCAGAAACTGAGGATTTAGAGCTGGTGCCAAGAGGAGTGGGACAAACCCCTCCAGAGATGGAGACCAACTAGAAGAAGTGTCATGTTGCTTCCAACAAGTTCTACAAGTCTGGTTCTGCTTGAGGATCAAATCTGCATTTCACTCAATGACATGAAAATCAGTTTGTAACTTGAGCAGTTTCATTTGTCTGGAAACGTAGAAGACGTGTCCCCGATAAAATAAAACTACAAAGTGAAGACGGTTCATTTCTTTATCCAATCAGCAGGTGGTCAAACAACGAGTCCCTCTCCCAACTGAATGTGCAGGAGTGGAGTGAGACAAGAAAAGTTCAACTTGTCTGTTTGCAGGTACAAATACTCCAAATACAAAGTAAAAACAGTGCAGTGAAGTCACGACTTCAGATGTTTGTCACACACTCAGTTCAGTATCACACCAAAACTAACTGACACACCAGAGAACATCGTTTGGACACGTGGAGTGGTGCACGCTGCCATTTCCCAAAGTCCAGAGGAAAAACAAACGGCTACACAGTAAACGGCAATTTACTCACGAGACTGGAGTGAAAAATGTGGAAGAAATCCTCCATTAGAGAGCAGACTCAGTGAAAACTGCACTCAACATAAACTATCATCCATCAGTAACACCAGTACTTCTCCACCTGTTAGTAAAATAACTTGTGTTTGCAGGCAGCAGAGGAGCTGCGAGACAAACATGAAGGCAGCTGATAAGATGTCCACAAAATAATGTCCCCGTGACCATTTATTGCTTTATTGTATTTGTTAAAAATATCAACGTTCTTTTAAGAGTAATTCATAATGCAAACCCAATATGGGCAAATAGTAAATGTTTCTTTTCTCTTTTAATACAGTGCCGTTCATACACACAAAACCAGACGAGTTTCACATAAACTAGTGAATAAACAGCCTGTCACCGATCTGAGGTCCGAACACGAAGAAGAAAACTAACGGCCTCAGTGCTGGAAAAAACAGACCATTTGTCAAACCCCACTCCTTAGTTACTGTTGCTATGGCTGCTCCAAACTGCCCTGCTCCCTAG